ATTAAGGAGAGAGTAGCTAATAATGAATTTACGGATTTTTACTTACGCTGCTGTTTTGACACCCTTAAATTCGGCTGAATTAAAGCGTTCGTCGTTTTTTAAAAATTCGGTAATCACAAAAATATGTACACATGGTAAATTGTTTGTTGACGCTTTAAGGAATCCTGAAGCGATTTTTGAGTTTAACACAAACTATAAATTATTTAAATCCACAAAATAATTAATGAAACACAACCGCACAACTGAACACTATGCACAGAACGTAAACAATCCGCCATTTATATGACCAGAGACGTCACAACCAATAGGATCGCGTTTTAGAGATTCACGAATAATTTGAATTTTAGCTGAATTTGTTAATTAAATATTTAACAAAATAGCAATAGATAGATAGTATAAACTTATCTAATCTTTCATATATATATTACCATAGATTAATGTTCAGTTTGTAGGAATTTTTGATACAATGAAAACACCGTAATGCTTATTTCGTGCGCCCCGTTCAAAAAACTGGTTACATCGGGAGATTGAGCCGGTCCAACACGCAATAATAGTTTGTTTAAACCATCCTTTCTCATATAATATTTTTCCCAAAGACAGGATTTCTCAAAATTAGAGTGAGAATAAAGTGCAGGTTTTAACCATGATCTAAAAAYGCAGTTTTTCACAGAAATTAATACCTARCAATAGAAAAATTTGCGAAAGTAATTTGTGCAATTTCAGCAAAATAAATGGCAAAACACAACTTATTTGAACGACTACATTTGAGAATTTGAGATATAAAGTGATTTTAAACTCGATGAGTTTAGAATATGAACAAATGCAAATATCTACTCTGGCTTCGTTGATAAGATCAATTTTATTTTTTTATTTGCAAGTAAACATGTGCCTGGTCTTGTTGTAATGTATGTAAAAAACATTTAGACGTAAACTAGACTCTATTTCCCTTGCGTTCTTTCCCAATTTTGCCTTGAAAACTCTTAATGATTATTTAAATATGCCATCTGGAAATGAATGAATTGGTCGAGAATCGACCTGCTCTATAACTCTTCCAGATTCCTAGTTGTCGCGTTTTGTTTTAGCTGTTCAAATGATTCGTTAGATGTCCCCTTGTACTAATTTTTTAAATTTACTTGTCCAATGAGACATTTCCTGCGTCGGAAAATCAGGCAATGGCTAATTTTGAATAGTCAAATACCATTCTAGCAACATTTTTCGGATGAATTATCCACCTTATTATGGAATGGAGACCTTTCTGCACCCATGGAAAATGTTGATCATGCAAAAACTTGATGTTGATCGCTTCTTTGTAATTTTTCTCGCATTGCTTCAACCAAGCTTAAGCCTTCTAACTTATGCGTTAGCTTCATGCTCTAATTCACGCAAATCAAACTCAATACGCAAATTTATCACATTTCCGCAGGTGACTTTAAACCTTTGAACACCAGCAAGCAATCTGCACGTATTTTAGCCATCACTTGTTTAAAACGCACGGTATAAGTGCGCATATTTTTTATTGAACATTAGTCAATCGAGTAAAGTTAATATGATGGTGAATGACCTGGGTTTATTAATATATGATTATTCACGAGTCGGAGGCTTCGCTAGGTAAGCACCGCATATGATTATCCATTCGACTGGCTTCAACATGAACAGGAAGCGAATGACATTCTAGGCTCAGTTATGTAGAAAACGCAGAAAAAGCTTTAATTATAAGCTACCGTTTTATCGACCCTCGAAAGCGAGTTTACCGTTTTTAATATTCCAATGGATAAGTGAAATCTGCCAGCCAAAGCAATTACCTAGGCGGGGAATTGGCAATTGTGCGAGAAAACAGTTGTAAAATGTAGGCTTAATTCAGTTGAATTAACCAAGTGTTTAAGTTAAAGATTTAGAAAAAAAATTAATTTCCATGTTCCGAAAGCGCAATATTTGTGCCTGTTGTTTTTTTACGTTGGAAAATCGACGACGGTTACTGCCAAGCTGAAGCTCAACTGAATATTAAAGCGCACCTCTCGTGTTTCAAAGACATACGATCGTCTTCTTCGATCGACTTAACTTTTGTTAAAAAAAAGTACGTCTGGTAATTGGTACAAGAGTTACCAAAAATTTTTAATTGATAGGCGTGATCACGTCTATTTTTTATGCATGCGTTAATTCTTTTTCGAGATTTTTCTGCTGTTTGTAACGCC